CATGTCCCCATCCTCATCCCTTTCCTATTGTCTCCATCCCCATCCTCTCATTCTCCCGTCTCTCCACCATCCTGTCCCATATCCATCCCATTCCATCCCATCCCTGTTCCCATCCCAATGCTTTTCCCATTCCTGTCCGTATTCCATCCTTTATCCCATCCCCACCCCATCCCACCCCCATCCCCATCTCTACCCCACAGATGGAGCAGATCAAACGCGCCAACCGCCTCTACACATCGGACACCATTTTCCTGAAGCCCACCCTCCTCATCCCCCCCCCGGGGTGCCCCAATGAGGCTCCCATGGGGTCAGCGCCGTCGGACCCTACAACCACCACCCCCACCGCCCCCACCACCCCCTCCTCCACGCCACACCACGACCTCACAGCCAGCGACTTCCTGCGCCGCCTGGACGCCGACATCGGCCGCTCCAAAGCAGCGGTGGTGGAGCAGCAGCTGCGTGCGGGGTGAGCGCCCACCACCACCCCACAGCCCCCACCCCACTGCCACCTCCCTATGGGTTTTGGTTATGGGGTCACCGCTCACTATTACCCCATGACCCCCAACTCACACCAATGTCTTTCTATAGGGTTTGGCTACGGGGTCCCCACTCATTGCCGCCCCACGTCCCTCACCCCACACCAACACCTTTCTATGGGCTTTGGTTATGGGGTCACTGCTCGGCACCATCCCATGTCCCCTGCCCCACACCAACAGTTTCTATGGGCTTTGGTTATGGGGTCACCGCTCACTGCCACCCCCATGTCCATTGTCACGCCCTCGTGTCCCCCATCCCACTCCCATTTTCCTATGGGGTTTGCTTATGGGGTCACTGCTCAGCACTGCCCCATGTCCCTCACCCCACACCGACACCTTTCTATGGGATTTGGGTCTGGGGTCACCGCTCACTGCCACCCCCTGTGTCTGCTGTCACCCCCCTGTGTCCCCCATCCCATTCTCTCAGTTTCCTATGGGGTTTGGCTATAGGATCACCACTCAGAGCCACCCCACGTCCCCTACCCCACACCAATACCTTTCTATAGGGTTTGGCTACAGGGTCCCCATTCATTGCCACCCCACATCCCCTACCCCACACCAATATCTTTCTATAGGTTTTGGCTACAGGGTCCCCATTCATTGCCACCCCATGTCCCCCACACCAACACCTTTCTATGGACTTTGGTTATGGGGTCACCGCTCACTGCCACCCCCTGTGTCCACTGTCACCCCCCCATGTCCCCCATCCCATTCTCTCAGTTTCCTATGGGGTTTGGCTATGGGATCACTGCTCAGCACCACCCCACTTCCCCACCCCACTCTGCTATGGGGTTTGGTTATGGGGTTACTGCTCAGCACCATCCTGTGTCCCCCACCTCACACCGACACCTTTCTATGGGATTTGGGTTTGGGGTCACCACTCACTGCCATCCCCCTCATGTCACTCTCAGTTTCCTATAGGGTTTGGTTATGGGGTCACCACCCCATGCCTCCCACCCCACACCTACCCACACTGCTATGGGGTTTGGTGATGGGGTTACTGATCAGTGCCAGCCCCCATGTCCACCATCACCCACTCCTGTGCCCCCATCCCACTGTCACCTTCCTATGGGATTTGGGTTTGGAGTCACTACTCACTGCCAGCCCCCCAAGTCCCCCATCTCACTCTCAGTTTCCTATAGGGTTTGGTTATGGGGTCACCACTCAGCACCACTCCATGTCCCCCACCCCACACCTACCCACACTGCTATGGGGTTTGGTTATGGGGTTACTGGTCAGTGCCAGCCCCCATGTCCACCATCACCCACTCCTGTGCCCCCATCCCACTGTCACCTTCCTATGGGGTTTGGTTATGGGATCACCACTCACTGCCACCCCCCGTGTCCCTGCAGTGTCCCCAAGGCCGCCGTCCCGCTCCCCCCCCCAGGGCCGTCCCTGCGGGGTCCCCAACTCGGCGCTCAGCCCCTCACCCGGACACGGCGAGCAGCTGCACTGCGTGACACCGAGGATGAGATCTTCACATTGTGACTGTGGGGACATCATTATGGCCGTGGGGACATCATTATGGCCATGGGGGCACTGTGACTGTGGGAATGGGATGGAATGGGGGGGGGGCTTCCACCGGGTCGTGCCCCACTTTGGGGTCAGCCAAACCCATGGACTGGAGCCTCCCCTCCCACTGGAATGGGGTTCACCCAGTGATGCTTTCCCTCTGATCCTATTTATTTGTATGGCTTTGTCCCTTTGGGGTCTTTGTCCTTTGGGGTCTTTGCCTTTGGGGGTGTTTTTGGGGGTGGGGGTCGGGGTCGGTCACCCGTGGGTTTCCCACCCTGCAATGTGTAAATAAAAGGGAGCACCGTGGGGACACCACCGTCACAGTTGTGGGGTCACCATCACTGCTGTGGGATGTGGGCGCCGGCCCTATTGGACCCTTCAGGCCGCCAGAGGTCGCCGTGTGCCCTCATTGCGGGGGGGACACCGCAGAATCCCCGTGGGCGGCACCGG